TTACATTTCTCACCATTTTGAAGAAAGTATTCAACCGATTTACTTGAAATTTCATATATAAGCTTTGCTCGATCATACGCAAAAATTCCTAACTTTTGGAAGAAATCAGGCATCAGCAACTGGGCGTTTACTACGGGCCAAATATACATTTTTGTGTATATAAAGAGAAATAATCAACCGATTTCATTGAAATTTAATACATGAATTCCTCGTATTAAAACAATGAACATGTAAATTTTCTGGAAAGATCAGGCATCGGCAACTAGACGTTTACTACGGGCCAAACATACACTTTTGTGTATATAAAGAGAAATAATCAACCGATTTCATTGAAATTTAATATATGAATTCCTCATATTAAACCAATGAACATATAACTTTTTTGGAAAGATCAGGGCTCGAGAACTGATTTGCGGGCCGATTTTACATTTTTCACCATATCCACAGAACAAATTTATGGAATTTCTTGAAATTTGATATTTGAGTTCTGGTTGTTACCGAAACTAACTGGCGAGCATTTCAGGGAATTCGGGTAGCACAAAGCAAAACTCTACTAAGAGCCAAATTTACATTTTTCTAAGTATGTTAACTATAAGCTTACTAATGTCCTAAAAATTGGAACGAAGTATTTAACAGACATTTTTATAATATTCTGTAACACTTTCATTTAACTAGACAATACACAATGCGGTCGGTTATGTGCTGACCACATCAGATTTTTTTTTATATTTATGTTGTAATTTATATACATATACATATAGGTAGTATGTATGTAATTATATTAAAGCATTAATATAATTTCTATTTAAAGATTTTCATGTAAATATAAATTTTCTCGGTTTTCCTATGAAATATGTGAGCAGCAATTTTAAAATAAAGATTTAGAAATGTTCTACTAACATATGATAATAAAATATTTTTTTAGTACTAAAATTTTTGAGTGTACTAAAAATTTTTACTTAGATTAATTAATGAAATTCCAAAAATGTGATAAATCTTGTCCGTCTTATATGTCATTATTTTATATAATTTATCAAAATTTTACATTATATTTTAATCCATTTATCATGATTATTCATGAAAATTTCTGGGGCGAAACGGGCTTTGGTTTCTATAAAATTGTTAAAACGAATATTTACGCTGACCGTAGATAGAAACCGAACTTTAAAGAAAATTTTACTAAAATACTACAGTAGGAAATCGTGAGTGTTTTTGGCAATGTGCCGTGAGAACATAGCCGAACTGAAAAAAAATTTAATTTGTAGAAGCATGCAACTAGGCTAAAATTGTCTTTCCATACAATTTCTTTTTCGCAACTGCCGAAAGATGGATAATAGAATGAGACCCTTTTTCACTATTTCTACTAGTGGGCGGCTCTAGATGATATCAAACACAACGGGTGGGTCTGAGCAAGCATGAATTCTATGAAATAGTTAGGTTTGTGAAAAGAGCTAGCTGTATTAGAGAGGTTTATGTCTTAGGTATATTGTCGAACGTTTAGTGATGACCTGCTGAACATGGGATGGTTATAGCAATCGAAGAGCTGCTTCAAGGAACTAACCACGTTACTCTTGCTTATTCGTAATATCGATCTACATATGTGTAGTAAAATCGCTCAAATTTCTATGAGACGTATAGGTAAAGATACATTACATACGCATATGTACAGATTGGCGGGTATAAGATTCTTAAACATTAAAAATATCAAATAAATTCCAATTGAATTAATTTTACTTAAAAGCTATTTGACAATTTATTAAGTATTTTATATATTTACTCTATATTTATAGAAGTTTATTATTACGTAGAAGACGATGATGATCAATTTATTTCTACTTGTATTTAATAATTTATCATCTGATTCAGAGTACTTACGATATTATATATAATATTTGAAAAACATCATTTTCTTCCAATTATGTATGACTAATGTTTTTAAGAGAATTAAAAAATTCTTCTTCATTGTCTTTATAATTCATGTGAGTTATGGCAGATTTAAAACTTATACGGGTTGTGCAAGTTGTTTTGTAAAATGTGTGAAAAAAAAATATTTCAAATTAGTGCTAGTGACAATAAAATTCATAAATAATAAAAAAAATTAAATATTTAATTATTATTAGTAATTATTTATTATTCTTCAAAAACAAATATATTTTTTCGAAAAGTCCTACTAACACAAAATTATAAGAAAAACGAAAAAAGATAGATCCAGCCCGTTGATATAGCCGTATGAATATTATCTACGTTTTACTAGAAACGGTAACGTTTTAATAGAATGTTAGCCCTAGAATTTGTTCAAAAAAACAACGAAAGTATATGACAGTTTTTTTTTAAATTTCTTCTACCAGGATCCAATTTATCTAGTATAGTGCCCCGAGTAACAAGAATTCAACTAACAATTCTTTATGTTAAATTTCAAAATTATAGACTTTATAGCTTCGGTGATATGATCAAATTATATTGGAAGTTTTATGTCAGTCATTGCAAGAACTAATACAGCCACAAATAAATTTTTTGGAATTATTAGTCCTGCTGATATAGCACTTACTCGAGGCGTCATTTCAATCGAACCCGAGTTAAATATGTTTTGTACTATAACAAATTTTAAAAGAATACTATAATTTGTGAAAATTTGGTTGGCTCAACACAACGTAATTTTGATTTATCGACTCTGAACTCCATCCTGATCAAAAACATAATATATATATTAACCGTCTCATATCTATATCGCAGACATTTATTTCTTAGTGTTACAAATGGAGTATATAGTAAATATATTTAATAACTCCAAGAGTACGTGTACAATCATCATAAAAATTTGCATATTAATGCATTATAGTTTTTAAAATAAAATGTAGCACACAATAAATAAATTCCTGTTATGATTTTAATTATTGATTATAAAACAAATGCCGGTAAAAACAGAAACCATAATAATCTTTGCTACATATATAACATTATAATGAGTAGTAGTTGGTATATTTGTGTACACGAATGTTATAAACAAAAACATATGATTTTATTCATTATTTGTTATTCTTTAATCTTTAATTAACTTTAAATAATAGTATGTATATATATGTATATACAGTGCGTGTAAATTATTTAAAATTCATAAAAGCTTAAATCACTAATTAATTTGTATATTCATACTTTCATATAAATATGAGTACCTACATATATTTGATATGGTGACGTATAATATTAAAATATTTCATTTGAATTAATTTAGTACAAAAATTTTTTACACTCAAAGAAATTTTTGTTGAAATTTATTGTAATAAATCAATATTGTGGGAAATTAGCGTAGATTAATTGCGGTAATTGTGAATAAAATTCGATACTGTTATAAAAAACATGACTCCTGAAAAATTATTCAACTGAATTATTTAAAATTATAAAAGTAAAAGCTTAAAATTATACAAATTTATTTTAAATAAATTATAAATTGTAGTTTTTAAAATAGATCGTGTTTCATATCATTGTGTTTATGTGGGCTTTTCTTATATTTTAAGCGTGTAGCATTTCTGTTAAAATTAACTGTATAATTTCTTTGAGTGTGTACATCTAAAATAAGTACATGGCATTGCATATTATTATAAAATTGTATATAGAAACAATGTGTTTTCTTCCGTGTAAATTCATGTACAAAAATAATTAAAATAATAAAAAAAAATTACATATTGTTTTTTTTTTATTTTAAAATGATTTTATTTAGATCATGGTTAAGCAGAAATATTATTAAAGAAAAAAATTTTAAAAATTATTGTTGGCAATATTTTAAATATTGAAAAGAAAAAAAAATTTCGTGTTCTTTTTTTTTCTTATACAATTCTTTACACTTTTACAATTTTTTTTTTAAAATTGTTTACACGAATAGAATTTTAAAATATTTTATATTTTAATAAAATAATAAAAGTAAAAATTTTGTGTTTAATTAAAGTCATATAAAATTAAGTCCTTACTAATACAAAATAAAAGTCTGCTTTTAATTACCATTAAGTCGCCTATTAGGCCGCATTTTCGTTGAAGAGACGAAACTTCGGCGGATTTGGAAAAACTTCGTGTCTCCAATTAGAGGAGAGCCGCCCAGGACCGCGGCGGATGGAAAAAAATGATAAGTCAGGCTCAGGACCTTCATGGTCTGTAAGGCCTAGTAAGAAGAAGTCGCCTATTAGTTTAATATTTTTGAATATGGCGGATCTTACATGAACTAATTATATTTGTTAATTGTACAAATATATTAAATTCTCAATAAAATAATAAAATGTTAGTTTTCATCTAAGATTTTTTGAGAAATAATAAAATATACTTTGAGCTCTATAATGCAATAATACAGTCGATATAAATTTTCCGAAATCATTTTAAATATATAAACTTCTGAAGAAGAACTGATGGGTTCTATATGGAAAATAAAATACAGTACCTCTACCACTAGAAGTCACACTGTACCACTAAAACATTTCAAGTTTTTTGTCCAATTTTTCATTTATTGTGAAAGATGTCTCAGAGGTTGGGTATTTCCTTATCGGATATCTGCGGGGATGCCAAGTCATTGGGGGTGGTGGAGAATGTGCATTATGGGCTAAGTGAGTATATCGCTCTGATGCGGAGGTGGAAACGTTTTTCGGAAGGATATCGGTTCGACGTATTTGAGAAGCTCTCGGGAGAGGCTATGGGGGATCTGCTGAACTTTTTCAGCCGACTTCAATAGATTTAGAAGAACGGATGTATGGAGGAGAGATGCCGATGAGCTTTCTACCTGCCTAGTGCTGGATGGCACTGAACGGTGAGGTTGACGCCTCCCCTCTCTAACTAAGTACACTTTTACTGAAACTGTTTTCATGAAATAATGCGGGCAGTTTGTTTTTAAGTAACATACTTTTACTTTAAAGTTTATTTAAATTGAATTTTTAAAAATACATAATATTATTTAACTATAAAAATTAAAATTATTTTTTAATAGATTAATTTTTTTTTCTTTTATTTTTAATATAAAGGTTTTTAGAAGAAGTTTGACGATATGGTTAAAATGGAGTCAACCGAAGAGCAAGATAGAAAAATTGTTTTAGAATTCTGTCATTTGCTTGAAAAATCTAAACAACTTTTTAATGGTTTAAGGTAAATTTTTTAGTATACATATATAAATATGTATATACATATATATAATTTATATAATATATTAACATAATAATGTACATATATATTTATTAAATATTGTGGTTAAATTATATTATATTAATTTTTAACTAATAAAATATTTTGATTATATTTTTAATGTTTACTGTTTACATAATAATATTAACTTAAATATTTACATACTTATACATATTTTATACATATTTTATATATTATATATACATACTTACATATTTATATTTTACATTAATATTTCACTTTTCACTCATTAACCTCATACTTTCATTATTACATCAATTTTATTTATACATTTGTAATTAACATATAATTTGCAAAATTGCAAATGATTATTATTTAATTAAAATTATTATTATAAATAAATTTTTAATTGAAAAATGAAAACAAACTGATTTAGATTTAGAAAACTGAAAATTATTACCGACATCTGTTGCGTAATGGCAAAATTATATTAGTACATCTTGTGCTCTTTATTATTAGATTTTAAAACAATTGGAGTAACACAATAAATACAATATTATCGGATATAACTGAAGAAAATTTTGAAAATATTCTGAAGAAAATTTTGAAAAAATAGGTGTCTAATTAGGGAAAATATTTTGGTAAATTTTCGTAATACGTCGAAAAATATCGACTTATTGCTCAATTTTAAATGGATGCACTCTATATGCAAAGCTATACAACTTACTTTACAACATTGGTTTAATTTCACTTACCATTTTATTTTCATTATAAAAGTGTTCTTTGAAATTATTCGTTAACGGTGACATACGATTCTAACAGGTGACGTACAATTCTAAAATCATCCAAACTCATAAATAAATCTTAAAACAATTTAAAATTTTTAAAACTGTTAAAATTGATATAAATTTTTGTCAATTATTACCAACTTTAAGTCTACCAACATAAATTGAAATTCGAAATTATTTCACTTGATTATAAAATCCCTTTCATTTGATTTTAATTGAATTTTTATTTTTTCATTCAAATCAAAAGTTAAATTGAAAAAATAAATAAAAAAATCTAGATATATGAGCAATTCAAAAAGAGAATAAAGTGATATTGTTAATAAAATTAATTCAAAAATCATCAGAATTGAAATGGATTTACTCACAAATGGATAATGAATGAGATTGATTGATTAATATTTTAGAATTGATTTTTTTTTAACAATAAAGTAGCTACATATAAGTATCTGTTGCATTTATTTATGTGTACACGATTGTAATTTTCTATATGTGAATGGAAATTAAAAATTAAAATTTTAACTATTTTAAGAGGAAACGAAATTTAATCAAAAATTTTTTGGGGGAAAAAATTAAATTTTTTATAGCATTTTATAAAAAATTTGATCTCCTTTATATTTCGAATTAATTTTTTAATTTAATAAGTTTATTAATTTTTAGAAGGCGCTTATTGTTGTCAAGAATAAATTAATATAGTAGACGCTTATTGTTGCAAAATTAATTAACAACTTGAACGCCTCCTATTGTAAAAATAAATAATAAAAATTTTGACATTTTAATTTTGACATACTCAAATACTGTATTTGATTACTATATAGTAATTGTCAAGTTAAAATTTCGAAAAATTTCAATCAATTTTAAAATGAAATTGAATTAATTTTGATTAATAAATAATAATAATTTTAATTTTAATAATAATTAATAAAAAACAATTTGAAATCCTACTTCTTAACCCTATAATAATACACACCTTGCACCAAATAACAAAAAACAAAAAAAAAAAAAATTAATTGGTTTTCAAAGATTCAAATTAAAATTTAAAAAATTGGAAATTAAAGTAGCTATGTTTGAAATTTCAATTTTTATTTTTTAAAATTTTCAAAATTAAAATTTAATCACAATAGATCTAAATTCATTAAAAATTGTTTTTTTTTTTTCTTGTTGTTTTTTCATCATCCTTAATTGTAATTAAAAAGTTAAACATTATTATTTCTATAATTGATCATAGTTCCGTATTATCTAGGGATCTGCCACAATATGGACATCGACAGTGGCAAGCATATTTTGGTCGAACATTTGATGTTTATACGAAATTATGGAAATTTCAACAACAACATCGAATGGTATTAGATTCAAAATATGGTTTAAAAAGGTGGCAAATTGGAGAAATAGCTAGTAAAATTGGTCAACTATACTATCATTATTAGTAAGTACATATATATTTTATTTTAATTATAATTTATTAATTTATATGAATAGTTTTAATAATTATTATTTTACTTAATTGGTAAGTAAATTAAAAATTCGAATTATGTGCGTTAATTAATATGAACATGTAGAAAAGATCTTGGTCTTTTATGTAAGATTAAGTTTTCAGTTATTAATTTCTGAAAACTACCAATAAGCTGTGGTTGATTTTAGAAATGATTAGATAATCATTCACATTCTGTTAGTCAAGTTACTCTTGATGTGTTGGGCTATATTTATCAAATTTTCTAATTTTCTAAATAAAATCAATTTCGAAACTCTTTTGAAATTCTATAAAGAAAACCAAAATATTTTCAATAATCAGTTCAAGTGGGGGTGGTAAACAGACCATGAGTGAATAAATGACTGAATTTATTACATATACATATCTCAATTTACTCAAACATACTGGACTTCGTGTGAATTTTTTTAAAAATTTTCACTTTTACGAATACCAATATTATAAGGGACAGACTGCTTTTAGAATTCTATCAAATTAAACAAATATGTCCGGTTGTTTATATAAGATATAATTTTACAATTTTATATAAAATATAATTTTTTTTTTTTCAAATTATTTAATTCTATTTATTTATATAATTTTTTATTTTATAGCCTTAGAACGAGTGAAACAAATTACCTGAATGAAGCGTATCAATTTTATGCGGCAATTAGAGGGCGAGCTTATTATTCAAGAGCAATTAAAGAAGATCGACCCGATTTAATGGTTAAAAAATTAAGATATTATGCCCGATTTATAGTTGTTTGCTTATTATTAAAGAAAATGAAATTAGTAAGAGAATTGGTAGCGGAATTAGAAAAGCAAATACAGGAGTATACAACAACGTAAAATTTTTATAAAAAATTTAAACAAACAAAAAAAAAAAATACAAAAAAAAATTTTTATTTACTTTAATTAACTTTTTTTTTTCTTTTTTAATTTTAATTTAATTAAAATTTTCTAATTAAATTTTCAATTACTCATTTTTTCATATTATTATTAATTATTAATTCTTTTGTTTTTTAGGTATGAACCTGAAGATCATTTAGAATGGTCTTTAGTATTAGATGAAATTAAAGGATTTATTAAGGCTGAAGCAGCTGTTGCTGTACTGCATGCCGATTCAAATCCAATTGTGTTATCACACAGGTTAGCAATGAAATTTCCCAGAATATATATATAAAACCATATATATATATAATTATTATGAATTTTATACATATATATATTTTAGTAGAGTAGTTCAAGCCCGTGCTTTCCAATGGTAAATTTAAAAAAAAAAAAGAAAAAAGAGAAAAAATTTAAAAGAAAAAAAATTAACAGAAAAGAAAAAAGTTGCATAAAAAAATAAATTATTTTTTTTTTTTTTTGATTTAAAAAAAAAATTCAAATTTAAAAAAAAAAAAGAAAGATTTTGGAGCTAAGGGTTTTTGACGAAAAAGAAAAAGCCATTTTTTTTTAATTAATTTTATTTAATTCCAAAAATAATTTAGAATTTTTTATATATAGTGTAAATATTAATAAATATTATTCCTTACTATACACAAACACTAATTAAAAATATTTAAAAGAGAAATTTAAAACAAAAAAAAGAATTTCTTATAGTGGTTACCTAGCATATGCACATTTTTAATTTTAAATTTGATTTCATATACTTTTGATCTCTTGAATGCCAGATAAGTCTGAGTTTTTGAATTTTTTTTCAGTACCTATTGGAATTTGTTACAAATTTCCATTAGGTACAGCAAAATCCAAATTTCCATTAAATTAATTAGCAATAAACAATGTTTCATATGCAAAATCCCTATACTAACTTAGAAATATTAATATTTTCAAAATTTTAGAAAAAAACACTGAAAACAATGTGATTTGGAAAAAATTAAATGTAGATCCGAAATATTGCTGCCTTAACAGCAATTTTAATGTACATTGACCTCTAATATGCTGAACAAAAATTTTTAAAAAAAGTTTTAGTAACGCTGCGAAGCGGTGGTTTCGTGCTACCTGTCAAGTTATGTATTCAAAGAACATGGTACAAAAGGTTAAAACTTTTTTCAAATATAAGATTTTTGCAGTATAAACTTTGTTTAATAATAATTATAGACAAAATCAAATTCTTGTTAAAAATACGAGCTTTATCCGATTAAATTAATTTTTGGTAACATTGAAAATACAATAAATATACGTGTGCATAAAGCTATTACCATTTCTGACTATGCTTATCTGGTTTTTTTCGGCGCATTCAAAATTCGAGTTTACATACATTTAAGAAATTATTCAAAATAATATATTTTCACTAGACAAATACAAAAATCATGCACACATCGTAAATTGTTCAATTATAATACAAAATAAGTGAAAATAAAAAAAAATTTAGCTAAAAATACATTTATTAAAAATGTTCATTGTAATTTATTATCGGGCAAAATGATATTCGTACAGTTCGCCTAAATGTATGCAATATTTTTAAAATTTTAAAATAAAATTTTAATAGTAATTCAATTATTTTAATAAACTGTCTACCGTGCATATGTTAGACTTTTTCAATTCAAAGCTCCAAAAATTTAGATTTTCTGTTTTCAAATATAAAATTTTTTATTATTATATTTTTAAAATCTTAGGTACACCAGTTATTAAAAAATTTTGTTTTATTATACGATTATATTTTTGGTTTTTAAGTTTATTTTTTGTTTTTTTAATTAAAATTTATTTTATTTGAATTAAAATAATAATATTATATTTGCATAATGACTAAGTAAATATTTAAAAAAAAAATTATTAAAATTTATTAAAAATAATGTTTTAAAATAATATTTATTTAAATTATATATAATATAGAAATAGTTTTATAGTAAGATTGATTTTTTAAGTTATAACTTAAATGTTATATTTTAGAACAGTATATAATATAAAAAAAAATAAATTTTATAGTTCCCTTTCTTTTTACATTTTATGAATATTAAATGTTTATAGTATATTTGGTATAATTATAATAGAATAAATTTTGTTATACATACATAACTTTTATATTTATATAATAAATTGGAAAAATAAATTAAATCAAAATTCTTAAATATTAAAAAAATCCAAAAATTTCATTCAACTATTTTCTTTTTACTTTCTTTCTGTTTTATAATTATAATTCTTTCATTTTCTCGTTTAAAAATTAATTAAAATTTAAATAAATTAATAAAATAATTAAGTTAAAAATTAATTATAGTATTCAATTTAATATTATATTAGTATTATTTATTAAAATATTTTGAATTATTTCGATAAAAGACTAATAAAAAACAAGACTCTATGATTTTAAATAAAAATTTACTTAATTTTAAAATTTTTGTGAAAATCAAATGTAAGAATCAATTATTACACTTGATTTTCAGGAGTATTTGAAAATTTTTTTATATTTTATGTTTTTGCTCATAACTTTTAAATGAAAAGAAATATAGTAACAAAATTTGGGCAGTAAGTAGATTTAACTAAAACGAAATTGAATTTTCAATAAACTCAAAAACAGAAAAATTCGATTTAGGCAGTTTTTTCCGGACATAACCTCAAAATAAATTGTTACCTCTTAATTTTTCATTCATAGTTTTTCATTATATGAATAACCTCACAATATTTTTTGTTTCTAAGTAATTATTATATGTTTAATCGAAAATAAATTTTAAGTGTTGTAAATTACGATATTATGAATTTTAAGCACGTATACGATATTATAAAAAAATATTATAATAGCCCGTAGATAAATAAATTACGGTTTTTTATTAGTCTTTAATTAAGTATATTAATATACTTAAAATTGACAATTAAAATAAAATTGTTATACGTATAACACTTTTTTGAAATTCATATAAATTTTATTATTTTTTTTTTTAAATTCGTAAATATTTTTTAAAACATTATTTTTAAAAAAATAAATTTTAATTTTTAAAATTTTTTTATTTTATTTTTGAAATCATTAACACAAAATTAAGAACATTAAATATATTATTGAAAGGAATTTTTAATATTAAAATTAAAATAAATTACAGAATTAACAAAAATATACACAGAGAAAAAACAAAACTAATTTACTTTATTTGTTTTTAATTTTATATTAAAATATTTCTTAGTTAAATTTTATTTATTAATTAAAAAATTTTTATGTTCTTAGTTTCTTTCTTTTTGAGTTATATTTAATTTTTTTTGGTATTGTAAATTGTTATATTATATTAAAAGAAACTGTTATATTTTTTTTTAGGTTTCTATTTGAAATGTAGTTTTGTAATTAAAATGTGTAGTAGTTTTAATGGTTTTCCACTAAAATACATAAATTTTAATTTAATTATAATAAACAGAACAGATGAATCCAATTTAATTTGTATAAATATTGTATATAACAATATTTATAGTATTTATTATATTATTATTTTAATAAAATTAGATTCCGGTAGATTTTTGAATTCTGAAAATAATTCTGAAAAGTACAGAATAATTACGATAAAGTTATGAAAAATATCGATTACCGTAATTAAACGATAATAACAACAACAAGAGAGTCATTAATTGAAAATTATTCGATATTTCTATAAAATAGAATTTAAAGCTTTTTATGATCTAGAAATGATTGGAAATGAAAAATTTTTACGTTTTTGTGGAAAACCTTTTTTAATTTGAAATTTATAGATGAATGTTTCCTTTTGTTTTTTTTATTTTATTAAAATCTTTTCTTCTAATTAATGTTTTATTTAATTAATTTTAATGTCATTAAAAATGTTAAAGGCTATTTATTTTATTTCAAAAGTCAATTAATTTTTAAAATGTAATGTAAGTAATAAAATCAAATGCTTTGGAAATTCATATAGAAATTTTCATATAAAATATTATTAGAAATTATAAACATAGATTTTAAATGTTCAATATTGAAATTTAATTAATTTTATTGTTATACTATAATAATTGTTATACTAATTTATTTTTTAACTAATCTCCTTAATATTTTTAACACTAGAAAATTGTTAAATTTACAAAAAGTGGATTAGAGGAGCATATACTATTGCTATTATCAATAAAGAGTTATCATTCAATTGTACAAATACGGAAGAGAGAACAATTTATTTGTTGTTCATTTCTCTTTTTTTTTCTTCTTTCTCTTTTAAATAAGAGAGAACTGCAGATATTAAACAAATTTCTTTTTTTCGAAAACCTTATACATTTTTGGTTTTTGACAAAAAAGCAGACCTAATACTGTACAATACTGACATTTAGTATGTTAAAAAGAGAGTTGCCGTCTATGTAAATTTATATAAAATAAAAATTATATAAGTTTCAATAGAATTTTATTTTATTAAATTTGCACAATATTTTTAAAATTATTAGAATTAGAATAAGATTTTAAAAATTAAAATTAAAATAAAATATTGATTTATTAAAAAATAAAATAAATGCCTATAACATTTTATTAATAAATTTGTTATATTATTAAAAATTAATTTATAATTAAGTAGTATAGGTAATGTTTGAAATTGTAAGTTTCAGATAAAATATTTTTAGTTATATATATTTAAATTTTCCCTCTATACAATATGAATTTTATGATTTGAAATGTTAATACCTATATAGTAATTTTCTTAAAATTTTATGTTTAATTTATAAATTTTAACTGTATAACAATTAATTATGAATTTTGTATGAATTTTTATTAATTATGTAGAAAAAAAAATTCCTTCTTCTAAATGGTTCTTGTTTAGTTTTTAATTTTAATTTCCATCTTTTTTTTGTTTTGTTTTTTTTTTCCTATTCTCTTCTTGTTTATATTTATAATATTTATTTTTAATTTATTTATTTTTTTTTTTTTGGTAAATGCTTTGGAGGCATTGGAAAACGTCAGGGTTTGAACCCCTCACAATAATTATAATTTTACATAATATTATTTTTATATTTATTTATTTTTATTTTTCATTAAAATATATTTAATATATACATATATATATATATTTGTATATATATAAAAATACATATAAATATTTAATAATTTATATAAGTATATAATGTATAACAAATATATATACTTTTATTTTACTAAAATATTTTTTAAAATTTATTATAAATTATATATTAATTAATATTTTTATATAGAAAAAAAATTATAAGAATACAAAATATATTAATTAGACTGAAATATAAATAAGATACTGGTTCAGTGTGTGCCAAGGTTGGGTGATAAAAATTTTAAGACAATTCTTTCCCTTTGTTTTGGTTTTTATATTGAAGTTATAGCCTTAGTTATATTCTTTGTAAATGACAAGAATTTAAAAATTGTTTAAAAAAATATTATTATTGTAATTAATAATATTAAAGTATTTACTAAATTACTTAATAAATTATTTAAAATTATTGTTTTAATTCTGAAAATAGTTCATTTTAATTAAAAAAATTGTTATACTTAAAATAGTTTGAAATGTAAATATGTTCAGAAATATCTGGACTTATTCAAAACTAATTTTTATTGTTATTTTGTTACAAACTAGTTTTTATTGTTATATTTGAACATTTGTCGTAATCTTGTATATTTTTGACTGTGAAATTTTTCTATAAAATATTAAATTTGAATTAGATTTTTAATTTCTAAATAAGGATATTAAATAATTTACGATTTTCTAAAAGTATGCAAAATAATTTTGTAATAGTTTCATTGTATTTGTTACTAATGAAATTGTTTTCAATTCAACAATTGAACTATTTTCAATTTATTCATTAAAATTTTAATTATTTAATTTAATTCAATAAATTTTATTAATATTAAAATATTTTTAAACAATTTTTAAATAAAAGTAATCATTTAACCATAAAAAGTTAAGCTTTCATAAGTGATAAACATAAAATCAAATAATTAAATAATTTCTTTTTCTCTGCCTTTTCAAAAATAAAAATTCCCAATTTTCTTATCCTATAATTCACTATAAATAAATATCACTTATTAAACTGTGATTAATTTCGGACTGACAATGGCAATATAAATACATATATAAATATACTTACGCAATTTCTTTATATATAACTGTTATATAACTAAAAATAACATATTAAAAAATACAATATTTTTTTTCAATTATATTTTAGATAATAAGTTTTATTTATATAAGTTTTCTTTTCCCCCAAAAAAATAAAGTGAGAGGAACAGAGACTCAAAAAAAAACAGAAAAGCCCATACAAAAACAAAAATTATTTAATTTATAAGCAATTTTTTGAAATATTTTTTTTCTAATGCGGAATTTCCTTATTTTGCGTACAAATTTTGCGTAATGGAGGAAATTGAAAAAGAAAGCAAAATATTTCATAAAATTTTCAATTAATTATAAGTTTATTTTTAAAATAAAATATTAAAATTGGCCCGTTATCATCAACAATTTCCCATATCAAAATCAAATTTCGAAATCATCATTAAAATAGTTCGTAATCATTTTATATTTAATTTTTTTTAATTAATCCTTTATAATTATACATTAATGAAAAAAAATCCTCATTATATAGATATTAATTATTTTTTTTTTTCTTTTGCAATTAAATTAAGGTTCTAAAATAAATTAAAAAATTGGAATAATTTTATGTTTTTTAAAAATTTCAATATTCGTATAATTTTTTTTTTTTAATTTTTTCTTAATCACATTTTTAAGTAACTCTTTAAATTAGAAATATCATTTGTTTCAATTAGATCTCTCATATTTTCAATTAGATTTCTCATTTTCTCAATTAGATTTCATGTCTTTTTTCAATTAGATTACTCATATTTTCTCATTGTATATGTCAAAATATCATATCAGAAATTTAAAAATATTGACAACAATTGATACATAAATATGACCATACTTGATACATATCAATTAAGATACATAATAATATGTTATACAAGTGACTTACATTTGAAAAAAAAATATATACAATATATATATAAAATCAAGAGAATATCAGAGAATATACATGTTCATTCTCTTCTCATCTAATGAATGTAAAATTAAAAATTGACATATAATATCAAAATGGTCTTATACAAAATTATAATTGACATATATAAGACCAAAATAAGGTCTAAATAAATAATTTATTAAATTAAATTATTAAAAATTTCTATTTAATTTGTTAATCTTTTAATAAAATAATTGCAATCATATATAAAAATATATTTTTGGAATTCTTGTAAATTAATTTATTTAATAATTATTAGATAAATTGAAAAAAAAATTGAGCAACGAGCATAGAATAAGAAGAAGTAAAAATATTTTAAAAGATTTTCAAAAAAAAAAACATAAAAAAAGAACAAAAAAACTGTAGAAACCGAGAATTTGTTTTGGACCCCCAAAAGTATGCAATATTTTTGAATTTACAATACACGCTTTTTTAAATATCTTAGAACCTTAATAATGAAAAAACCTATGTCGTTTTCCATTATTTCTCATTTTCCATCCATAAATTTTCAAAATCAATTATATTTTATTATCAACTTAATTTTTCTTCTTTTTAATATTTTTTTTTTAAATATGAAATTTTTCTTTAATTTTTTATTTAATTTTCACTTTAGACTTTCAACAAATAAAATTCACTATATAAAAAATTTCTCTAGTTTCCCCTCATTTATTCTTAAAGAAAAAAATATGTGATGTTTGTAGTTTCTATCATTTCCACCAACAATAAAAAAAAAAATGATGTAGTTATGGCATTTTTTATATTATTATTTAAAAAAAAAAATTACAAATAAATAAATAAATAAATAAAAAATTGATGAAAAAATTTTTTACTATTTCTAATTTATTTTAAATTTTTTTATAAATTCTTTATTTATTTTCTTCATTGCAAATTTTTTTTTTAAATTAATTTTCTATTATTATTAAATATTTTATTATTATTGCTTTTTTCTTTTGATTTTATTTTGTATTTTTTTTTAACAACAATAACAACAACAACAAATATATTGTATATACATACCGTTATATACATACACATAAATATAATTAAAAATATAAAGAACACATATTTTTTTTTTGCACATTAATTATCTTCTTATATAATATATAGTACAATTTTATTTAATAATTATGGTTAATTAAAATATAATTAATTTTTATTAAAAAATTAAAAATCAACTACTTATTTTTTTTAATATAACAATTCACTATATTTATAATATATAAGTGAAAGGTATATATATAATCAACGTAATATTTGAGAACAAAAAAAAATTAAAATAATTATTATTATTGTTAATAATGAAAATAAAAATTAATAATGACTTCCGATATATATTTCGGTAATAATTTATTACATAAAACATACAAAATAATTTTCATAATTTTAATTAATCCAAAACAAGAGCAACAACACATTTTAAAACAAAATAAATTTAAAAATATTTTTTCAATTTAATTTCAAAATTCAATTAAACATATTATACAACATAGTTACTTTACAGATATTTACAAATACATATACAATTAATAATTTTCAAAAATTATTTTTTAATTTCCTATAAAAAAAAATTAATATATCTACTTCAAAATTCTGTTTCTGATTTTATTTAAAAGAAATCACAAGAGCAAAAATTTAATTATAAAAAACAAGAATTTTATTATATATTTTTTTATATATATATAATTTTTTTAAATTTTTAAATTTTTTAAATTAATTTTATTTTATTTTAAACATTTTTACAACACATTTCCTCATATTAAAGTAAATAATAATTATAATAGTAACACTTGCTCATAATTATCATAAAATTCACTCATATTACAATAATCATTGTCATAATTACTTTATATATATAGAACAGTTAGTTGTTATCAAATCATTTAGTGTCATTTAGTTCATTTTGTTCATTTTGATTTGTATTTATTTATTATTATTATAAAATTTATCGTTATATTTATTATTATTAATAAATATTATTATTATTATTATTATTATTATTATTATTATTATTATTATTATTATTATTATTATTGTTATTATTATTATTACCGTTGTTATTATTACAACTGTTATGATAATTATTATTATTGTTACTATTATAATTATTATTATAATTTTTAAATATTATTGTTATTATAATAGTTATTATCGTTATTATAATGCTATTACTATCAATATTGTCATTATTATTATTATTATAATTATTATTATTTTAAATTTTTATTAACATTATCATTATTTTCACATTTACATAATTTCCATTATTTATATTATATACATATATGTATACTAAACCATTGAAAAGTTCATTCATCCTAACACGCACCCACATATACACACTCACACCACCCACCCTTTTAATGTATACAAACACATTTTAATAAAAGAGATTATAAACGCATTAATAAATAAAAAAAAAAAAAAAATTACATTATATACATACACACATTTAGTAACATTATTACCTAACCGTATATATATCAGTCATAACCATTCGAAAGCACGGGCCATCTGTGTAAAATTTCGAATAGGTTGACTCCACAAAATTGACCACCATAGTGGTTCCGGTTCCAGGTTATCACCATTAACAACACCACCATGTGAAAGATCACCTCATATGACATTAAGTTTACAAGAAATATTAATAGTTGGTTCAGCATGTGAACAAGCAAAATTTTCAGAGTTAACAATGGATATGTTTAGGTAAATATTTAAAAATATATTTTATAATATTTAATTATTAAATTTTTACAGTTATTTTTATAAAATTGAAATAAATTATATCCTATATTAAATTACGCTATATAATTTTTTTTTTATTTCTATTTTATTCTTTATTATTTTTTTTTTTCAAAATTATTTATATAGAATGTTACAAACATTAGAACGTGAACCTACTGAATCTGTACATTCAATTGGATCACATGCAACAATGCATGGTATACATGGTCATGATGCTAGTCCAGCAGCAAGTCGTATGCCACCATATGGTGTTCCAGGTTCAAAAGGTTATCTCGAAAATGGTGAAAGACGACATTATCGTGATAATCCACATAAATATTTATTATACAAGCCTTCAATTAGTCAACTACTGGTATTTTTAGCTAGCGGTTTTAAAGAATTACCACCTGGTGGTGCATTATTATTATATATGTCAGCCGATGGTTGTTTTTCGACAACAAAACATCCAGAGGATTGTAAGTAATAAAAAGTTTTATATTATTATGTTGAAGACAATTTCAATTAGTTCAAATGTTTTTTTTTTGTATATTCTTTGTATACTACTTTTATTGTATATTTATATGTATATGTTTAAATGTTCTCTGTGTTAATGTATTATATTATATTTCATTATTATTATTACATATTATCATAATTATTATATAAGAATATTCATAAGAACATTCATAAGGAAATTCAATATAATCAATTAAAAGAATAAAACTCGAGAGTTTTTCCGATTAAATTTCAACGTTTGTCATTAAATTAATAAAAATTTATAATGAATATAAAATTTACAATTCTGTTATGTGAAAGCGATTATATACGCAAAGTGTAAACACCAATTTTTTAATTCATAATTATAATAATTGAATTAGGACAGTAGGTAAATCAACTTTTGCAATTATTTGTCATAAAACTTAAGCAACTCTCCCATTATTTTCTCGTAAAATTTAAAAATGATTGAAATAAATATTGGTATAGCTCCATAAAAGTTGGAACATATATCCAACTGTTTTACAATATCTTTGATCGTAAAATTATTTGAAGAATTTCAACAAAATATTTCATTCAAGTGTTGTTCAACATGGCAATTTACACTTTCAATTTGTCAAAAAATTGACACATCAATTTGACATATGTCACATTTTATTATTTTTTTTTAATATCTATCTTATTAAATATAATATGTCATATCATTTGCATGTCTTAAAAATAAAATTTTAAATAAATATTTTTATGTATATATATAACAAATTCATTATACATAATATATTAATTATATATTATATACATAAATGTTCATCTAAATAAAATAATAATTATCGTGTAGAAAATTTCTTTCTTATATAAATGTTGTAATTATAAAATTATATTTTTTGTATAATATATAGAGAAAGTAGTATTTAAATACATAAATTAATAATTTTTAAAATTTAAAATAAAAAATTTTATTGTTATTTTAACAATTTTTTTTTTTTTGTTTTTGTATAATATTATTATAATAGAATTTGTTAAATATCTTTATTGTTATAAAAGAAAATTTGAGTTTGTTTGTTAAACAAAAAAAAAATTATTACATATATATATGTGTTCTGTAAATATATATATATAGATGTATATATATAATGAAATATTGTCTTCAGCATTTTAAATTAAACGTTTTTATAATAATTATTATATGTATTATATTGTTATGTAGTAGTTTTCATAATTTATGATTTCGATAAATAAATAATATAATTCAGATGGTTATGAAATAGGCGGTTTAGCAACAAGCCTTAAACGTGATGGTCTAGATGGTGGAATTGCAATTAGAGGGAAATCATATAAAGAGCCACACTGCCTATATCCTGGCGATTTATATCCATTTACTAGACGTCCATTATTCATAATTGTTGATTCAGATAATTCATTTGTTTTCCAACATATACCACGTTATTTTGGTCAACCACTTGTTATATTAATGTCACCGCAAGATGTGCCACCAGCGTTTCAAGGTAAATAAATTATATTTATACATATATCATTTATTTATTATTTTAGTAATTGTCGATATTAAAGTATAGGACAGGATAATTTAATTGCCTTACAGGAGCACTCCTTGTAAACTATATGAGGTCTAATCATCTTCCTGCCAACCCATCCAATATTCGACACTGAAAGGGAAACAAACCGGGACTGCTGTATGCATTACTTAAGTTTCAGAGTTTGCCATTTCATTTTTTTAAACCTTTGTTTTTTTTTCTTAATTCTCTTCGGAATTTTCAAACTACAAAATAGTGTCGTCATTCTCCTGTTAACATTGTTTTTATTTTATATTTTTGTATGAGCTTACACTTACTCTCGTTTATTAGCATTATTCCTACCACATTCTACGAATGATTTCCATACGGTACGAATAAATTTGTAGTTCCCAATCTTTCTGTATGATTCTCCTGTGAATTATATATATATATATATACAATTAATTTTAAGGCAATAATTTAAAATTTATATTTTATCTTTATATATCTATCTATTATACATGTAATAACTAATAAATTTTCTATTTATTATTTTTTAGCGGATGTTCAACATCATGGATCATTGTTTACATTGTTCCTACATTCACCGTTAACAGCTTTATGTTATATATGTAATGTTGGTGATGTACCAATTCATCATTGGGAAAGATGTCAGAGTTATGTTGATCGTTTTGTAACGGAAGCATCACGTCTTGTAACAAGATGTCGAATCGATGAAATAGAACAAGGAATCGGATTTATTGGTAAAAAAAAAAATTGAAAATATAAAATTATTTGGAAAATTTTTACAGTATTATAAAATTAATTTAAATATTAGTTGTACATATTTTTAAATTGATAAAATAAAATATTAAATTAAATAAAGTATTTAAAAAAAATACATTATCTAGATATAATTGGCATTAAAAATTAATTATTAATTTTAATTTTTGTTCTATTTTAATTTTAGATTCTGCTTATGTTCAATTTTTTGGTGATGACTTCCTACGAACTCTAATACTTAGATATGTTTTCTGTGATGTTGTATTACGATTGCATCGTGGTTTTCGTGGTCGACATATGAGACCACGTTGTGAACCACCACTGCCAGCTAATGAATTAATAGAACATCCATCATTATCACATATTATATTACAATTAGCATTAGCATTAGATGTTCGAGAACATTTTGCTGAAATAACACAAGGCGATTGATGATTGTCATATTATTATTATTATTATTATTATAATTATTTTTATTTTATATATTATTTTTATAATTTCTACTATTATTATTATTATATATTATATATTTATTTTAATAATTTTTTTAAATTAAATAGTAAAAAAAATACAATAAAACAAAAACAATTTAATATTAATTATAATAATTATTGTATATTATTTATTAACATAATTTATTTATAATTTTTAATTTTAATTTTTCAAAAAAAAAAAAAACTCAAGAATAATATAAATGAAGAAAAAAAAATTTCAAAAAAACAAAATATTACTTTATAAATATATATATATATATATATTTATTTAATTAAATTAATAAAAATTGAAAGGAACAATAATAATGATAAAGATATAATTATAAATAATTTAGTAAAATATCTTTATATAATATATATATACTTCATATATAAATATAACAATTATTGTAGATTTATATAAGCATACTAATATTATATAATATGCATAAATAAAAAAAAATAAAACAAATAGATTGTATATGTATATTGACATTTTTATGTATTATATACATAATACAATTTATAAATGTTATATATATATATATATATACTAGTATATATATATACTAATATATATATATATATACACTAATAAAATATGCATTGTACATAAAAATATAAAATAATAATAATTAATTATAAATTTAATCACATATATATGTTATATACATTTCATTTAATTACAATACACATATACATATACATATTTTTTTGTTTTTATTAATTTATTTGAAATTTTTAATTAATTACTTTGGTTTTAGTTAAATTTTTACTTTTTACGATATTAATATAAAAATTCAATTAAATACGATATTAATATTACAAAAACTAAATACGATGTTACAAAAAAAAAAAAAAAATTAAATTTAAAATAAAAAATAATTAAAAAAATTAGTTGCTATTTATATTAGTTTAAAAAATTATTTATTTAGTTAAATTATTTGATATTATATAATTATATAATTGAATATAATAATTAAATAATTATTATGTTAATTATTAATTTATTATTTCAATTTAATTACTTATTTCATAATTTTCTAATGGACAAGTTTTTTTTGTTTAAAAATTACTTAGAAAGTTTAATTTTAATTGAAATTTTTAAATAAGACGATCTCGTTTTTTTTTTTTACTAGAAATGCCCTATCGTATTAAGCAATCAATAGTTATAATGGTCATTTTTAAAAATATCACATGACTACCGATTGATTTTACAAATCTGACTCTATCATTACAATAACTCTAAACATATTCGTCTCTTGAAATTAATCACTTTTGCGAAAATTCATTTATTATTTTTAAATTTAGATGTCGATATTGTAATTAATCATTATATTATAGTATACTATTATTAAACTATAGTCTACTATTATCGTCGCTCACTTTTTAAAGTAATATTTTTAAAATTTACGGTTATTGTCAAAAATTCACGGTAGAGTTTTTAAAATGATCTCAAAAATCATTTGATCATCATGTGACATTTTTAAACGGGGCCAACGGCATCAAATAAAATGGTAATAATTAAAAACGAAACTTAGAATGGAATTTAGAGCAGAAATTAAAAGCATTCATTCATAAAGTTTGATTTAATAGGCGGAATTTGTAGTTCACCTAACGGCTGTCTTGAACATTAGAAAATATTTACAAATTTTTTTTTTTGCAATTTTATTATAGTTAATAATTTTGTTAATTATTTTAATTGTTTAATTTTTCGGAATTTAAATTCAAAATTTTATAATTTTTCAATTAATTTAATTTCAATTTTTGTCTTTTTATTATTATTCAATTAATTAAATAAAATAAAATTTAAAAAAATATTAATAATTAACAATTTTTGTTTTTTGACTAAACAAAAAATATAAAAGAAAATAAAAATGCTTTAATGCTTCTAAAGTGAAAACAATAATTTTTTTAGAATTTCAAACAAAAAAAACAAAGAATTTTAAAATACAAAAGTAAAATAAAAACAAAAAAAAAAATTAAAAACACAAAAAAAAATATAAACAAAAATGAAAAGCAAATATTTTTATTAATCTGAAATGAAAATTCTTAAATTATATACAATATAAAAAATATAAAATTAAATAAAATCCTTATATAACAACCTTATATACATTACAACATCTTCAAACAAAACAGAAATCAATAAAAGAAATTCGAAATTTTAATAATATATAAATAATAATTAATATAAAATCAAGAATAATATATAATAACATTACTAATAATTTAAAATATTTAAAAAGAAAGCAAAAACAACAACAAAAAATATCCAAAATTCGATTAATATAAAATTGTTTGAGAAAAAAATATGCAAAAATATAAAAAAAAACAACAAATAATAAAAAATATTACAATATCAATTTAATTTAATTCTTAAATTTTTTTTTTAAATTCAAGATTTTTATTAAATAAAAAATTAACAAAAAATTCTGATTCTGACAAAAAATTTAATACATAGTCAAAATAAAAAAAAAACTTAACAACAACATATAAAAAAAATATTTTAATAAAAATAAAATTTAAAAATAAAAAATCATTTGGAAAATATTTGCGAAAAATTGAATTATTACTATACATACATAAAAATATTAATAAAATATAAATAAATTATTAATTAAAAAAAAATTGCAGTGACTGTGAATCTTATTCATTAATATATATTATAAATATGTATATATAAGCATTTATATATTACTATGTTATATAAAAATTGCTGATATATATAGCTATATAATATATATTTATATTTATATATATATATATATATATATATATATATTAATTACATATATATATATACATATATAGATATATATATTATATATATATATTATATATATATTATATATATATTTATATATACATATATAAAAAAATATAATATACATATAATTACTTATTTTCGAAAAATAGTCGAATGTTAGAATAGAAAAACAAAATATAAAATATTATACATAAATATAAAAATAATACATAAATTATATAAATATTTCGAATGTAATATATAAGATATATAATATAATAAACAATAATTTTTCAACAATTATAAATGAAAATAATCAAATTATTTAAATTAAATTAAAATTAACGTAAAATTAAATTTTATTAATTTATTTATTTTTATAATTAATTTAATTTTTTTTTTTATTGTAATTAATTTATTATTCCTTTTGAATTAAGAAGAATGTTTAATTAATTTATATAAATTTTTTAATATGAAATTTTGAATTTAAATATACATATATACGAAAAATTATTATTAAATTGAATATTATTAATAATTACGATTAATACGAAATATTATTATTGTATTTAATTACATATAATTTATTAAATAACAATAATAATAATAATGAAACAATGTACTAATTATATTATTATTCATACTTCATTATGCAATTATTATTATTTAAAATTTTACTTATATTCATAATGAAATTTATAAACTATTCCATATTGAAATTTAATATTCTCATAATGTATTTGAAATTTTATATAATTTATATAGTAAAGATGCTTATTTTGAGTGCCGAATCCTTAAGTGATAATGATAATATTATCGTAAAAAGTTCATTGTTTTTTTTATAAATACAAACCAATTTATATAAATGATTCGTGTCTATAATAAAGTTTTTAATCATTTTTATGATATATATCACTTAATGATTCGATACCAAGAATAAGCTGCAATTTTTAAAATTTATTTATATTGTTTTTAAAATTACACCATAAAATAATCAAATCTTTATAGTAATTATTGCAATGCAAATTTAATTTAAATAACATATTATTGCTTGTTTACTGCAACAATAAGAATTATATCAAAAAATGTGATTTCGTAGTTGATCATACATTGAAATAAACACTTAAAATATTTACTTTTTGTGCAAAAAACAACCATTTCTCTGGTTTGAAAATATGTCGCTTACAATAAATTATAAAATAATTAATGCTATATAGCAAGAAAAATATATTTTAACTCGTAAAATTTTTAAAATTTGTATTTTTCAAATGTGAAAATTTTTGAGTTATATAAGTGTTGCAGCGAAGCAAGTGATTCTATTATTCAAAATTTAAAAATAAATTTTTTAATATTATTCAAAATTTTTTAATAATTTCTCATCACATAATTGCATTAATTAATAAATAATAATATTTAATTAAAATAGGATAAGGAAATATTTAAATTAAATTGAAATTATTGATAATTTTTCAAAGTCATAATTGTTTTCCATATAAAAAAATAGGAAACAAAATATTAAGCATTCTTCTATATTTATTTAATTATCCAGAAAAATATTATTATTTAATTTTATGTTAAAAATTTTCATGTATATAATTTGAACATTACAATTTTTACTCAATTTATTAATATTATTAATTTATATTTTAAAAATATTTTTTATTAATCAATTATGATTACATATATATATTAATTTTTCAGTGATATTATTTAAAATTACACAAATTCATATATATTTAATAATTAAAAATTATTAAATATACGACATTTATGATTTCATTATTTATATAATAATTATTTTGTAAAAAAAAGTACAACATTTTACAATCACATAAAATAATTTTATATTATTTTAAAATTTACAATAAATACGTTTTCAATAATACTAAAAATAATTATACATTTTTTTACGTTAATTTATTTAATATATAATCACTCATATTCTGTTATAATCACCTCATTTTTAGTGATTTAATATTATATAATATTGAAAGATATTATGATTTTCATTATAGAATTTCATATTTCGAAATTAATTTCATTCAGAAAATTAAAAAAAATTTTGTATAACAATTAATTACGTTAAGTACACGTAACTAACAGAATATGAATGAATTTATATAATTAACAACAGATAACAATAAAACATAAATATTATAATATATGCTATATTATATGCAGTTGTTTTTTATATTTTATATTATTAATATATAAAAAATATGAATATAAAATT